GACAGCGTTATAGTAAGAAGATACATACAGTTGTAACGTACGGTTTTTCTGATGCCATGTAATAGACGTATCGGTAAATCAAAGGGACCTATTCGTAGATGCAGAGTTGGGCTAATATCAGAACGGGCAGTCTATTCAGTTACGCAGCTATGAGTTAGTAGTGGAGCGGATCACGGGAATCGCTCGGACTGACGTAGACGGTTATAAACGATCGATCTAATGAGAAAACGCTCCATTGGTAGAACTAGACGAAGATACGGTGATGAAATACACTGACCCCGAGTCGTCAAATCGCTTGTCCTGTATACTGGATAATTCAGCAGTTGATATCTCAAATCATTATCTCCAAAAGACGTTTCACATTTATAGGAGAAAGCTCAACAAAACCCAGGCTGGAACGCACCAGGCGGGCCGGTTCGATTATGCGTTTTTGCACTTTTCGTGCCGTAGCAAGATCACAAGGAATTAAAGTAGCTAACCCTGTGAAATGCTGGCCCTCGAAGTTCAGGAAGTTAATTGTGTAACTATGTGGTATGTCAGTTTTAGGTGTCGACTTTAGTGACCCGACAAATGGAAAGTTGCTGGTCCGCAAAAAAAGGCCACAGAAGAAGGGTCAAGTTTAAAATCTTTTAGTTGCACATGAGCAGGAAACAATCCCTTAAAACTGAAGCCTTCAGCTTTTCCCGTTCCTGAGTCAGCAGCTTTCCCATCAAAATTTTCACGTATCCGTACATGAGGACTGGGCGGCTCTAAGGAGATGATTTTAAGACCTTTTGGTCATACATGAGTAAGGAACATTACTCTAAAGTTTTAGCTTTCTAGCTTTTCCCATTCCCGGGTTAGTAATTTTCGCGCCAAAACTTCCATGCGCTCGTATGTGGGCTCGAGCGCTTCTAAACACTTGATTTTACTCGTACATGAGTAGGGAACATCCTTTTAAAGTTTCAGCTTTATAGCTTTTCGCGCTCTCGGGTTAGTGGTTTTCGCGCTAAAACTTTCACGTGCCTGTGCGTGGGCCCCTGGTGGTCCTAAGGAGCTGAATTTGAAAACTTTTGGTCGTGCATGAGTATGGGACATTCTCCCAAAGTTTCAACTTTCTAGCTTTTTTCATTCTCGAGTTATAAATTTTCCCGCCAAAACTTTCACGTGCTCGCACGCGGGGCCCAGACGTGCGTGAGGGTTGAAACCGCGATTGTGGAGTGGTACC